GTATTATTTAGAAAATGTGTAATACTCACATAGGGGCGCTGGGGATAAGAGGTTAATTTTTACTCGTTTGAGTGAAAATCTTCCCTCATTTGATACCACTGCGCACCAGTAGACACCAGTATCCCATCGGGACACATGACTGATAGAGGCGCTAAAGCCATGGCTGGTGAGAATGAATAATCCTTTCGACTTTTGAGGATGATTTGTTAATAAAATATCTTCACAGGTGAAATTGTTCTTTCTGCAGAAAAACGTGAACCCAGACATGTAATCATCTCCAGGAGAGTCACATGTTTTTTTGTACAAAATGAGATTCAGTGTTCGTTGGCAGCTCTCAAGCTCTGTAAACAAAACAGTGAAATCAAATATTTGTCATCTTATGAGGACTTGGAATGTTTCTTTCGTGTTCAAATTAATTTTCTTTTGGCAATGATTTGAAATACATGGGGAATAGATCTCTTAGGTCTCTCATGATCCAGTTCATTTTTATAATAATAATACTAATACTACTACTACTAATAATAATAATTATAGATGTGCTACATTTCTTACCAGGTTCTGGTTTCTCGTCTTTTCTGTCAGTCGAGTTACACTTATCTTTAAGGTCTTTAATGGCTGCCTGGTGATTTTTACTTTTTGTATCATGGTAAAATCTGCCTTCAGTTTCCCACACATCTTTCTCAGAGCTTTGAATGGTTGTTTCATTGGAATCGACTATGTCATTGTCTTGATGTGATTTATTTATTTCAGGATATTTGCAGGTGAATTTAAACCATCCTTGGTGACATGCTTTCATTCCAAAGCTGACCTCGTAACCTGCAAATCAAAGAGACAGTTATATTACATCATATTCTGCAAAAGGAATCTCATTCTCATTTTACACTGTCAGCTACACGCAGTCCGGTTTGATCTTAACCTCTATAGTGTCTCACGTTTGTATGTGAGATTTTGTGACTTCTATATCATCAGTGTGAGTCCTCTTGAAAAATCTAAAAAAAAATGTGCATAATACATTTTTAAGTAATAAACAGAAAAAATGCCAGAATTAGCAAATATACAAATTAAAGTATTTCTTCAATTGTCAGAAAGTTTAATAAATGCTCCAGTTAAAAAAAATATTCTGGTAATCATTTCATGGTTCAGACATAAGTGAAAATGCCCTTCCAGTCCAGCACGTCTCAGTTTTTCTGGACCTAATAAAGAAATGCTGTCAGCACAAATATTTGAGCTTATATTGTAAGAAATAATTAATAATAATAATAAAAAAGTGACAGAAAAATGTACGTCCTATAATTATAAATCAGAAGTGGTTTGTTAATGCAGAGATTGTTTTCTTTTACTGTGAACCCATTTTTTCACATAAAAAAACTAAAGATCGACATTTGTGTCACAGAAATTACTAGATTTTTACTAGATAGTAGATGAAGTGATGAAGAAGAATGAAAGGCATTATCTAGTATTTCTTATCCCACAGAAATAATATATTTGCACCACAGTGATATGTTTAACATGATGATTTTTATAAAATTTGCACATATTAAGAATTGTCCCTGCACCACATGTAAATGTTTAAATTCATCATTAATTGTGTGTTTATGATTATCACAACTGTGTGTATGTGACAGCAAATTTTTAAGTAAATTTAAATATTGTACAGTGTCTTTTCAAAATTATTGTTCAGTTTGTGAGTTTGAGTATTTTATTATTTGCAGCTGGATTTCCTTCAGGTTCACTGTCAGACTGTTTCTACATACAGTTTGCATCCCTTTAGTGTTAAGCGGTCTTAAAAAAGATTACACCACATCAAAAATACGTTTGTTATCTATAATATTATACATTCAGATACACTCTGAGTGTTAATGTGTTAGCAAATGAGTGTTTGTACCTGTTGTTATTGAGAGGACGAGTAGCAGCAGAAACTTCATTATCTGGTTTTGGATGTTTGTTTAAGATCTTGAAGTCTGAATTATTTATCTGCGGTTTGTTTCCTGATGTCTTTTTCCCTCCTCAGTCTGTTGGTCTGCAGTGATCTTTCATTAATTTCGGTTTTAAGTTACCTAAAATCTTCCTGCCCCACTTTTCAATCTGTCCATTTTTTTTTGTCTTAAACAGCTCCTTCCGCTTTGTATGTTGCTTCCTCTAATTGGTGGTAAACAGGAAATAAATGGCGTGTGTGGTGGAGAATCATATCACGCTTTGATTAACAGGAAGTCTTGAAACTGCGTGACAAAAATAGCAGTTTGTAGGTATTATAGAAAACTGCTTTTATCAGTTAGAAGGAGACGGGTTTCTTTTGTTTGCACAGTTCAGTAATATAAACTGAGCTTCATGGATTTCAACATATAAAGGCGGCTCCTGATTGACAGTACTAAGCTAACTTTATGGGGAAAAAAAGTCTGCAACTATACTACTATACTATAAATATAGTAGTAGTAAAGCTGTAGTGATATTAATATTATGATGAATTGTACGTATGATTAATATAAATGTATCTATGATGGTTCGCCGGTTCGATCCCTGGGCTCTCTGTCCTGGTTGTTGTGTCCCTGGGCAAGACACTTTACCCTACTTGCCTACTGGTGTTGGCCAGAGGGGCCGATGGCGCGATATGGCAGCCTCGCTTCTGTCAGTCTGCCCCAGGGCAGCTGTGGCTACAACTGTAGCTTGCCTACACCAGTGTATGAATGTGAGAGTGAATGAATAGTGGTATTGTAAAGCGCTTTGGGTGCCTTGAAAAGCGCTATATAAATCCAATCCATTATTATTATTATTATTATTATTCTGCTGGTTTCCCAATCTACCAGCTTGCATCGTTCATGAAATTTTCAAACTAATTTTGAAGAACTTTTTTCCGTCTAGATCGACAAATGACATGTTAATTTAACTGCTGATTGCTGTGCAACTGCTGTGCAACTGCTGTGCAACTGCTGTGCAACTCCGACATGGCAAAAAAACAAACCAGCCCTGGCATTTTTGGTCCAGACGGCCCATCATACTTATATATGTCATTTATATATCATTTTGTTTGATTATAGATATTAAAAACAGGTTTGAATCAGGTTGGTACAGTTGATGTTAGTTGGGTTAGTTCTTGCTTGTACCACCAAGTAAGAACTAAGAACCAAATGATAGGAGTGATGATTTCTAAAGCTCAAGGTGTATAAACAGACATGCGTTTTCTCATTGGTGTCAGCTCAATATAAATACACAACAACATTTTATTTAGGTAATAGTTTATTTACAAGAAGCAGGAACAGAAAAGTGTTCAAAGTTTCAGATGTATGGTACATGAAATGGGATTTAAAATCTGATCAGTAAGCCAAGTAAAGATGTGTCGGAAGTTAATCTGGTTCTAGATAATGGCTCTTTACTGCAGGTGGCATTAGTGGACTGGACTTCACTCCATCAGTACAGATAATGTACACTGTATGCTTTAGCTGCAAGGTTGGCGACCCTCAAATAACACTGGAGTGAGAACAATATGATGGGAAAAATGAGACAAGAACATTTTCTCACAGCTTTGTCTAAACGTGCCTGCTGCCACTTCCCCATCAACCTTATGCATGGAAATATCACCAGTTAAACAAAAACAGTGTTTTTAAGTAATTAATTTTTGCTCTAAACAGTGATCTTGTTGTGTTAAACTAACCTCAGATGTTGTAAAAAGTAGCACCCACAGCACATCTGTCTCATTCTCCCCAGTAAAACATACCAAGTAATCTGAACCTCTAGCTGAGGTTTTTCTGTGATCCCTGTAAAATGCAAATCATTCAACATTGGCACAAGTGACTTAGAAGACAAATGCTGAAATCGTTTGTGAATTGTTCATATGTACAGTCTGTCAGTGTTGGGCAAGTTACTTTGAAAAAGTAATTAATTATAGTTACTAGTTACTTCTTCAAAAAGTAACTGAGTTAGTAACTGAGTTACAATATTCTAAAAGTAACTAATTCCCTGAAAAATAACTATTGCGGTACTTAAAAATGTTTAACCCTCTGGGTTCCAGGGTATAATTGGCCATTTTTAACTACTTTTGATGTTTCCTCCACATTTTACCTTTAAAAACTATTTACTTTGTCTTGTTTGGTATCATTCTACTCAGCACAACCTCACGTGTCTGAATTTACAGTCATGTTTTCATTTTGACAGACTGTATTAACACAATTGATCTAAAGTCAGACAAAAAACATAAAAACAGAGTAGAAAAACTTATATTTTTTACTGTAACAACCACAAACATGTTTATTGAATCATATTTCACAACTTTAAATGCAAATATAAATGGTCAATTTTAAAATCCTATGTACAAGTTTTGCAAACAACAAAATTATTTGCAGCCATTTACCTTTTACCTTGATTTTTTAAATAACCATTTCAAACTATTTACACAACAATCAGCTGTTCTACATTCAATAAGATGTCACACAAATTATTTGTGCCACTCCAAAAAAATAATTTCTGTCCACTATAAAGGAGAACATCACAGCCTGATACCTGCAGGTCTGACAGCAGCAGGTGTATCACTGCTGTTTCTACCTGGAGACAGCAGTCGCCTCAGTGTTCTGACACACAACACAAAACTATCCACAACACTACACACTAACTACACAAGACAACACATTAACTACACACTCCAAACACGCTAATCTCTCAAGTCTCTCACATCTCAAAACTCTCTCTCTCTCTCTCTCTCTCTCTCGCGTCACTCCTAAAACTTTGGGTTTTTTTGTTTGTTTTTTTGCTCATAAGCAGAGAGGTCTCGCTGCGCTGTCCTTAGACAGTAAATGTGACGAAACTATTGAGGAAAAAACGCCGCGTATATATTTTTTATCACGACTCTGGTTTTACGCGGCCTATCAACACAGTTTATAAACTGGTATATGTCACCTTGTTGCTTTGTCTTGAAGTGGTCATGTGATTGGCTTACCACGACTACTTTATTCTTCCTCAGTCAAACAGCAGCACTCATGTGATTGTTTTGCCCCCTGAGCTCCAGGTGTTGTGTTAGACAGTGATCGTGATTACCGTCCGCGGGAGCGCGCGCAGCTGCTTGAAAAAAGTAACCCATCACTGCAGTCTGTGGGGTTGTTAAAAGGACACCAGGGATGTGTCTCAAAAGTGTTTCAATAAGGAGAGTTCACTTAAAAGAACATGATTTACTGACATAGAGAAATGATTGTATTTGGCAGTCAGACTCCAGCAGCTCATCATGGCAGAACACAATCCCAGCAGTTTTAGGACAGGACCCACCAGAGTCCAGGTGGTGGTGGTGAGGATGTAGACTGAGGTTTGGATGGCTCCAGCTGAGGTGGGTTTGAGGTTGACAGGAGTGGATCGCATCACTGAGAGTCTAAAAGGGAGAATGATGGAGAGTGCAGATTTAAACCAGTGGAGGCTCAGCATCCTGATGTCATTTTATTAAAAATGATGCTATGTGTATTTAAATAAACTTTTCTGTAATTTTTATTTAATTCAGTTTGAGGTAAAGGCTTACTCTGACTTACTGCAACATGAACATGATCAAGGCTTTTTTGCTGAATATGGACTTCACATAACCACGTCAAGAGATTAAAGACATTTCCAGTTTGATTTGAAAATAGATTTCCTTCCAAATCTTGGATTTAACCTATTTTTATCATTTCCAAATATCACAAGATTCCACTAAGAAATGTGGGAACTGTGACCATAAAAATATTACAATATTGTGTGAATCCTATCACTAGACCAGCATTCATGAAAGCACAAGGACAAACAAGAAACGTATGCAAGCAAATTCATATTTTGTAACCAAAAACACCTCAAGGAAGGAAATGTAGACAGAATTTATCTACGCAACAGAACACCGCAAGTTTCATCTTATCAGACTGGTTTCAAAACATGTCAAGCTCTACGTCAGCGCACTTCCTTTTCAGTTTGGGAGCATGTTGCCAACATTTTGATACACTTGTTTTGCACCTCTTTGTTTTTTTTAATTACTATACACGATTTGACATAAATCAGTCAATGTATTTCATATTTCTTCACAGACCTTATTTCTGTCTTGGCTTCAACTTGTTGACTTTTGAGTAGAGAGGCTCCTGTGGAGGTCTGGGTGGGTGTGTGGCAGTCGACGTAGTCAGACTCGTGCTGTGCTTCACAGTCGAATATTTGCAGGCCGATGAGCTGGGTGTGAGGATCAGTGTCTCAGCAGCAGCTATGTCAGAGCTGATCGGAAAGTTGATGGTGGAGTAATGGAGTGAGGCAGGATGGTTTGTAGGATGATCGACGGTGAGATAAACTGTGTTTGTGGCATATTCTGAGCCTGGACTCTGGAAATGCTCCTCTATTTCTTCATAGATATTGTCCTTTCCAGAAAGAGGAGAAGAAAATACAGTTTGAACTGTTTATATTTGATCTGATGAGGTTTACCATCAATCATTACCTGTACATCTTGAAATTCAAATTGGTGTTGCTAAAACTGTTAAGCAATGCTTAGTTCAGAACGCTGGCAAATAAAATGATATGAAAATGGCCAAAAAAGCTAAACCAGGGATTATTAATCATGCATCCATTAAATCAGTTCACTATTTTTTTTTACTTGGGAGAGCTTTCAATCAGTCATTGTTAGCAGGTACTATAAGGTCAGGCCTCGGCCGCACAGGTCTAGAGACTGGCGAGTGATGATGTGGCAGTGACTCTACTTTCATGTGTATTCTCTGACTGGTTGCTGTTGGTGCTGGCAGTTGCCAGGAAACTGCTTATTCCCTGGACACAGGGGACTAGAGAGGTGTCAGTGACCCCCCTGGCAACCACAGGTCTTTAGGAAAAAAATATGCATTGACTGATTGGTTGGCATGTGGTTGCTGGCAGCCAAGTATATGGTACTGCATCAGAAACCTCCCTGTGATTGCATGGATCATAGCACACTGCCACAGTCACACATAGAGCACCATTCACTCACCTCTTTGATATACTGTGCTGTTGCTTCACTTCCTGTATCCTTTGAAGATGAAAGGCCTGAGAAATCGAAAAGAAACAGAACAACGTAGATTCATTTCGACACATGACTGAACTGAGACTTAACTAGCTCTTCATTTGACATCTGTCAGGATCCAGTGTGTGTGTTGCTGTTTGGCATATTTTTCCACAATGCACTCCGGAAGCTCCGATTCTCACATCCAGCTTCCCTCAACTACGGCTCATCTCTAGTAATAACCTGTCAGTATTTAAGGACCGGCTGAGACCTTCACTTTCCGCCAGATTGTTAGTACCACTATAGTGCTGTTCGGCCTCCTCTGTCACTGGTCCTTCTCGCCAACTTTTTACCTGCTAGAAACTAACCACCGCCTTCTGCTGCTCACTCCGTCTTGACATCTTAGATCTGGAAATCTCACCTGTCTGCCCCCCTGCTCACGGCAACTTTCTGCCAGATGTATGATTAGATATAGGTGTAAAAATGAAGGTAAGTGATAAATGAACTTACGTTTGTAAATAAGGATCAAAACTATCACAACCATCAGCAGCACTGGCAGCAGAAAAGCCATACAGACGGTCAACACGACGACTGCCTCAGAAAAAACAAAAAGAGTCAGGATGACTGGAAACTGATTCACATGCAATCATCACACAACACTGTCCGAGGATGTCGTGAAAATGTCTGTTTGTTTTCTGCGAGATAGTAAATGTACACTCTCACCAAAATTCTTATTCTCATGTGGATGGAGAATACTTCCTTGGTTCAGACCTTGAAGAAAAGGAGAGTGTTCAGAAAGTCGTATGTCTTATATAACTGAAACAACTGACGTTAATATGCAAAACACACAATTTTGAATATTAAGTCTTATTCCTTTAAGAAAAAGATCAAACGATGAGAATCTGTTTGGGGTTTTTTGTTTGTTTTGAGACAGAAATATTTTGAAATCATTTTTCACATCCTGCACAGCAACATATCGTCAAAGGTTCAGCAGTACAGACACTAGACATTATAATAACATCTCTAAACTAAATTCTTCTGTTGCAGTAAAGCTAGTTACAGAGAGTTTCAGATATCGTGCAGATTAAACTGTGCTAAGTAAAGATGTTTAAGGCTGATGGACTCTAGGACTAGTGCCCTCCCAGGTGAAAACACTGACGCTGTGAACGTGTTATATGTTTTCCTTGAATATCAAGAAGACTGCACTGTGAGGGAAAAGTTTTTCTAAAAAGTATTGTGTTCTGAGATTTCCCCTTCATATTAAATATATATAGGAAAATGAATGTTCATCAAGATAAACCTGTAAATATTCACGTCACACCTCTGCAGGTGGTGAAGGTGGTGCAGGAAGACTGAAGCATAAACAGCAACAGCCTCAGAGGTTATTACATTCATACAGTGAACTTTGTCAAGTGCTTTTGCAGAATATACTTTTGCAGACTTTGTAACCGATGCAAATAATGCACCTATTAATTAATCCCTTGACCTGACTTTCACTAGTTCTGATCCAGACCTTTCAGTAGCATTTGAGGTGTGCGTGACTGAACAGATTTGTACAGCCTGCTATGTGGTGCACACCATGCAGGTAATAGAATGCTAGCATTAGCAGTCTAATAAGCAGATGTGTTTCTGTGTGTTTCATTGTTACAGTGTATGGAACATGGTGGCACCCAAAACCTTATCAGTCAGACTTCAAAAGTCTAGAAACCAATGTATGTTTTTAATACACAGTTTCTGGTGTAGATCATTATCGATAATATTGATGTTAAATAATTAACTAAAGGTCTTGACTGCACTTTTAAGTATAAGTTAGTAGGGGTGGGAGATCAACCTTTTAAAATGATGTCATATTTTAAGGAAATTTGGGATATTTCTGATGATATGTTAGAGAAAAGGGAAAATTTCATCATCTGCTTGCAGCTTGCAGGCTGCATATTAGGGCAAATATAATTAGGGCATTTTTCACTTTTCCCAAGGATTTGCTATCACTGATGACACAATATTGGGAAAGGAGGACTTATGTGGTGATGCAACATAAGACAAATGCAAAGACAAAAGTGTCCTAGCTTAAGTGTAATATTTAAAATGCTGGTATTTTGTTACTAAACCTTGTAACTCTACAGGTTAAGCCTGCACAGGACTGTCACACAGTAAAATTTAAAAGAAACTTTTATTTATGATGTTGTATCCTGGGTCAAGTTTTTTAACCAGTACCTTAAAGCCTTTCTTAATTTCTATCCATTCTTATGTGCACTAGGGAAACTAAAGACACGATGTTGTTATATCACAAAATATTACACTGCTATTGCTGTTAATTATGATTGTAGCATAGCCCAAATATTCCACTTATAGTCCAGGAGAAAACAGTCTGTGTTACCTCACATTTCCTTTTGATTTCTGACTGACTACAAGCAAATGTCTTAAAAAGTGACATATATTTTCTTTGAAGGGTTGATCTTGACAGTCACCCACACAACAAACAGCACAACTTACCTACAGTCAAATTAAATCCATCAAAGAAGTCGTCATGTGTTTGATTGTGTTTGTGAGGGACTCTTGCTCCACACCAGTATATCCCACTATCGTTTGCTGTTACTTCTCTCACTGTAATGGTGATACTCCCGTTGTTCTCTTTCATTATAAATCTCTGGTTCACGTCAGGCTCTGTGCTGGTTACTAGCTGTTTGCATACAGTTGAATCTTCTCCTTTGCAGATGAATTTTATACATGAGGAGGCATCCCGGTTGTACTTACACTGGTATGTGAAGTTCTGCCCAATAGTTGATGGCAAAGGTTCAATATCTGAAGACAAAAAGACAAATATTTGCCTTCAGCTTATCAGCCAGCTTTTATCATTTAAACCTGTGATACTGAACATGTGGAATACTCACCTATAACTTTCAGGTGTACTTGTGTGTGTGATAATCTGTAACTTCCATCATTTGATTTTACTCCACACCAGTAATCACCAGCATCCTGTGAGTTCACATGACTGATGGAAATGTTCAAGGCACGGCTGCTGCCTGTGAGAGTAAACGTCCCTTTTGGCGTTGATAAAATGTCCTCACAGGTAAAACGTTTCTTTTTACAGAAGAACTTTATGTGGGACTCGTAAACATCTGGATAATCACATGTGAAGGTGCTGTTAGCTGTTCTGTACACGCTGAGAAATGTTCGCGGGCAGTTTACATGCTCTGTAAACAAATCAGAGAATTAAAGCAGTTTATTTTAAGGACTTGTCTAGTTTCTTTTATGTTCAGGTGACTTTTTGAAATGTCCTTGGCTCCATTACTTTGAATAGATGGGGACTCACTAACTGTGGAAATGTTTTAGAAAAGTTCGTACTGCAGCTCAGGACTGCTCATGAGCCAGAAAAAAAGTTCCCAGTGTTTCCGAAACTCCTGTTTTATTCTGTATCGATTTTTTTAATCAAATATTCTGATTTCCTGTGTGTGCCTCGTCTGGTGTCTGACACAAGGATGATGGTGATGATGATGATATTTCTTACCAGTCTCCAGTTTTCCTTCCTGTATGTCAGATAAGTTCGATCTTTGAAAAAACCTGCACCTGTACTTCCCAAACTCTCGCTCTTTAACATGTTTTATTGCAACCTTGAGATTTTTATTTTTTGTATCATGGTAGAGGCAAAATCTGCCATTATCTTCCCACACGTCCTTCTTAGAGGTTTGTACAGGTGTTCCATTGGAAAGAACTACATCAGTGTACTGATATATGTTATTTGTTTCAGGATATTTGCAGGTGATTTCAGCCCATCGATGGTGACATGCTCTCACTTCAGATTCACAACCTGAAAATGAAAAAAATCTCTTTGTAAGAATCTGGAGCTGCAGCCACGTAGTCAAAGTCAACATTAATTTCATGCACGCATGTTTGTTCTTGAAATGTATGAGAGAAATACAATTTTTAGCACTTCTTATACCACAAAGATATTTGTACACTAAGACCTGTTTTTGATTTGTTGCCTGGTTCATGATGTCTCATCCATGTAACTATTTAAATTCAGTGTTTGTTGTAGCGATAGACTCAGGGTGCTATGTTCAGATGGTACGACCCGAGATTATCCAATCAGACGTTTTACTTCCTAAAAGCTTTAATAAACAAGGTGAAAATGTGTTATGTAAAAGAAAAAAAATGGTGCACATAATTAATGTTAACATTTTTAAGATGGTATATTTTATTAAAGTGCATGAGCACAATTTTAGTTTTCTATTTATATATTATATATGATTAAAATGTGATTGTTTGCTTGAGTTGTAAAAACCTTTTTGCCATTTTTAAAATATATGAACAGACTTAAAAAGTAAGAAATTGAAAAAAAATAAAAATAAAAATAAAAGCTTAAACCATTCCAAAACACATAATCACCAGCAGCATATGTATTGTAATGTAACATTCAGTAGTCTGTTGTATTAACAAGTGTTAGTTATCTTTTTACCTGTCAGTGAGAAGATGAGTAGTAGCAGTAACATCACCGTGCTGCGTGCTGATGCTTCTTTAAGAGTCTGATGTATCCTCGGCTTGTTTGCTTTCACTGGTTTGTCTGAGACTCTCCAGGGTTGTTTCTTGAATTTCACCCGTATGTGATTTTAAACTTTCTTGCCCCACCTTCCTGTCTGTCCTTTTTAATTTTTTTCCTTAAACACAGCTCCTCCCTCTGTGTAACTTACTTCTTTTGATTGCCAGTAAACAGGAAATAAATGCTGTGTGCGTCAGGGTGAATGAGTTGGTGAAAATTTCCCTGGTTGAACTGGAAAGCTGTGACAGCGTGGCAGTCATGTCCAACAGTTGTGGCAGTAGCATTTATTATATCGACTTTCTTTTTCATACTTTAGATACGTTTTACATGTTTTATGGGCAGCATGAAAAGCATTTCACATATTTAAGATTTTTTCAATTACTGGCAAATCCTTTCAGTGTCTAAAAAAAGTACAATTATGTTCTGTAAACAACTAATGAGCCATTTAAAGATACATTAAAATCAGTTCCAGTGTCTTATTATGTGTGCATTACAATTTAAAGTGCATTTACAAAAAATGTAACTAAATTGAATATTTTTTCATGACCAAAACAAGACTTCAGTGTTGGGATGATTCAGACACTTAATGTTTTGTAAAATGTCACTCCTGGGATCATTAGATTGCACATTTGATTTAAAAAGAGAGAGGGAAACTGCAGGTTTGGACCTTTTTAGTGATCCAGGTTTGCAGATTTAAGACCTCTAGTTTTAAAAGCTGTTTTTAACTAAACTAAAAGAGTAGCTGGTTTTGCTTATTGGGAAATGATAGCTTGCATCAACAGCTTCAGCTAACTGTAATCTCAGAGATAATTTTGTACAAAAATAAAAACCTGCTTAGTTTCCCTTCATATCACAGACCCACTGGGCTAAGACAAGAGTTTTTTAATACTTCTTTTTTGAGATAATTATACTCTACTCATATTCTACTCTTTTGTATTCTACTCTAAAATCTGCCCTTTTTATGTTACGAAATTTATCCCTTTAGTCAGTTCACTATTCCTGTGGTTTATACTACACAGTACGTATATACTTTATTTATATATCTCATTACAATAGTAGTCTCATTAGAGTTCAAAATCTCTTTGCAGGTAGTAATTCATCTCAAACACACAAATTAGCCACCACCCTTCAGTATCAAACCATTCCTCTGATGTTTCTGTGGTTTACAAGAATGTTTCCTTTACACGTACAGTTCAAGGGTTGTGTTCTATGGCTAAAAGCATATTAAGTTAAAAGCAAAGATAAAACGTGCATGGTCACCATCGTTTCATTTTTTTTCTTTTTTTTTTTCTTCTTCAATATGATACGTTGTTCTGTTTCTGTCTAGTTTGCAGACTGGACAAAGGTGACCACACAAATACATTGCATGAAATCATTTTTTATCATCTCTGGCTCTTCTGTTAAAAGGAGTTCTCCCTCACTGTCGCCAAATGCTTGCTCACAGCGGGTTGCAGGTCTTTACTTTAAAATAAAAAGCACCTTGAGGCAACTATGTTGTGATTTGGCACTATATAAATAAAATTGGAAGTATTGAACACAACTAGCATCTTAATCACTGCCTACACCCGATATCACAACAAAGCATGTAACAGACAGCCTGTCATGCAGAAGTTGCAGTAATCTCACTAATAACAAGGGTATTTATTTATATAAAGTATTTTATTTCAGCCAACATGAAAATAATCATGGGAAAGCATTAAACCGACATATTAACACATTACATGGCTATACATATTAGCCACCTAGCTTAATCGATTCTTTTTTTTTTTTTTTTTTTTTTTTGCCTGTCCATTTGTTCTTTAGCCATCAAATTGTTGTCTGAAGACCAACAAGGATACCAATGGATTACTTTGCCAAATGGATCATCGTGGCATTGCCGTATTGGTCCATTGGTCGATCTTTGTTTTTATTATTTATTATATTTTATTTCAGATTACAGACGGACAGACATGAGTGAGGATAGGAAAGGAGAAAGAAAGAGGAAGAAGGAAAACAGAAGGGAGAGGGACAGTGAGAAAGGGGGAGAAAAAAAATAAAATCTCCTGGATCACCTGTTGAGAGAAGAATAGAAAACAAGCAGAAAAAAAAACAAAGCAACATACTAAACACAACACCATCGCATTAATCTAGCTAAGTGTAACAGCAGTAAATACTAATATTCAATGTTGTGTGCAGCACGCAGACAGTTGCTTCGAAGCACCAAGAAAGGTGTAATTGGGTCTACGAGCAGTGAACACCCGTGTGCATACCTGTGGATCCGTGCGCTTGCATTCCAAGGTTCTCCATGTATGATCTGCTAGGATGTGTGGGGGGCACAGCCCCGTCCTCCGGGGTGTGAAGCGGGTATGGAGAGATCAAAACTCCAGACATCCAGAGGCCCCCAGAACACAAGAGACCAAGGAAGACCAACAGAGGGGCAGCCGCGCCACTGTTCCAGTAAGAGCTGAGGAGAGTCCAATGAGGGCCACTCAGCAGCCGCGGAGCAGAGTCAGGGATTGCAGTGACGCGCCCATGAGCTCCGCCGGCCCCCAGCTGTCCTGATGACCGAGCCCAGCCGGGGCACCCCACCTCGAAGGGCCCAAGCGAGCCCTAGGCTCCAGCCCCGATAACGGCCGCCAAGAGTGAGCCGGTGTGTACCTGGACCCCACCCCAGACACAAAGAACCACCAACGCACCGATGTCTGAGGAGTCCGCCACTGGCAGGGAATGGTGGTGGGCGGAGATAGCCTCCAAACCTTGGAGGCCTGAGTGTCCCCAGAAGAGTGGCGTCTGATACCCAACCTGACATATAACACAGACATACAGCACACACAGACACAAACATCCATTCCCCCCCCCCCCCCCCCCCCCATGCTCTCATATGCACTTACTCCACACTCAACCAACGTGGAGACAGACATAAAGAACGCTGTACACAGATCACACTCCCAAGCGATCTACAAACCGGGTCTAGTACCCTGCCCTGAGGGGGAACTGCACCCAGACCCATGGGTACCCTTTCCCTGCGTGGGAGAGGCAACCACATCGTTTATTAATGTACATCTCGCACCCGGTCACATGAAGTTGCTGAGCCACAGCGCATAACAGCGACAACATTACTGACTCAGTGATGCAGACTCCACACCTCTTCTCTCATTATCATCAGCAAACACCATCAGTAAAAAACTGCACCTGGAGCTTTGGTATTTCCGTAGCTGAACAGCTCCTGTAGGTGTAATGTGCACAAACTTGTATTTGTTTCCATATCGGTTAGCTCTCATTTTTTGCAAAAATTGTTACTATCACCAGTCTCTTAAAATATGTTTTTGTTGCTTAAAGGAATATAACAGAAAGACAAAACAGTTCATTTATTTTATCATTTAATGCTATTAATATCCACTCTCATGTCATCAACTACAATAAAACCACAAACATAATGAAACTTAACACTACATGATCACAACTTTAGAAAGCAAACAACAAAAACTGCACAGTAGAGAGTTCCAGTCTCTAACATCCCAACAAATGTGTTTTACCAGTATACATTCAAAAATCGCCCCTCCACCCCTGACCCCGTGTACTACCACTGTGGTAATATTGGCCTAAATAAAAAAAATCCAGTGGATAACAGTGTATGATGCATAACACAAGATGATGTCACA